CCTCTGTTGACAAATCCACCATTATAAATAAGCTGGAGCCAAGTACAGTAGCTAAGAACAAGCATTCTTTATTATTTCCCCAGGTGGCTATTTGTAACATTGAATGTGGAGATAATTTTGCTTTTTTCACCTAGACTAGACCCAGTGGGATTGCTCTGGGGTGCACAGTTAGTGAAGTCTACCTGAGCTCAGAAGTTGCAGGGCTAAGTAGCCACAGCCCAGAACAACACACTGCTGTAGAAACCCAGTGCAGAAGAACTGGGTATGTAGGAGGGCTCTGTGTGGGAATGAGGGCAGCTGGCCCCCAAAGGAGAGTGGGTGACTGTTAATCTGTTCCCTTTTGGAAATGGAGTACTCAGCTGTTTTTTCTGTGAGGCATTTGCATATAGACTCCCGGTTTGCTCACTGGGCATTTGGTCTCATCTGGGGTTTTCCACCTCTGTACGGTCCGGTTAGCGAGTGGGACCCGCTGTTGTCCTGAATGTAGCCGCTCAGCTACAATAGTCTGCCTGTCTGCAGTCCTTCTTGCTCTCCCAAGCCATTTTCCTCTTTCCTAGTTTCCCTTTGGTGATATCATATAACAGCAACCCTCTGTTATCTCACGCTGCTTAAGCAAGGTAGCCTGAATGATTGTTGACAGGAGAGCCAAGACACAGTGAGCTGCTAAGAGGTTTTGTGTTTACGTGGTGCCTTGCCCAGCCCTTGGGCTTCTCACTTGGCCAGGAGTGCTAGCTACTCTTTCTGAAGGTAGCAGCTGGGATTCTGACTGTGAACAGGACCTCTTTTCTTTCCCAGGCTCCTCTGGGAAGGGGTGCAAATGAGTCAGAGTGGTTCTTGCCTAAGAACCAGAGATCTCTCCCCTTGGCTGCATTTACTAAAGAGGGGTCCTTTTTGCTGACTACAGAAACACCAGGAAGAGGAGGCAGGGAGGTGAGCTGTGGAGATGGCAAGAGTTGGGCCAGGAAAACGGGAAGATGGCTTACTGAGCACATCTGGAAGGGAGAACACCTTGTACAGTGTGGGGAGGACCCTGAGAAGTGTTTTTCCTTGTCTGTTCTGTGGTGTCACTGTGGACACCAGCTGTGACATAGATGTCAGAGCGTCTAATTGTTGACACTTCAGCCATCAGTCAGGGCACAAATGGGAAATAATCAAGGAGAAATTGGAGGTTCAAATCAAATACAAAGCCCTTGAGCTGGGGATGTGACTTGCCGATTCCTGAGGATCGGGGTTCAGTCTGTAGCACCACACATACCCACAGAAAGACAAAGGCAGGGCTGGGGTTATAGTTCAGGTGACAGAGCTTGCCTAGCACGCATTTGCCACCACTGCATACACTGGGCATGGTGGTGCACCCCGTAACCCTGGAACTCAGTAGTGTGATGCAGGAGGATGAGAAGAGTGAGGTCAGCCTTGGCTACATAGAGAGTTCTAGACCAGCCTGGGCTCCGTGGGACCATGTCAGGGAATGGGATGAGAAGGTGGTCTAGGTCGGTGAGGTTTTTTTGGGGGGCACATATTTTGTCTTCCTTTTCCTCTGACTTATCTTTCATCTTTTAAATATTTATTTTAATTTTAGTTTTGTGTGTGTCTGTGTGTCTGTCTGGGGGTATGTGCACATGAATGGCCTCAGAGACCAGAAGAAATTGGAGGATTCCCCAGAGCTGGATATTTGATATGGGTGTTGAGATATCATTTGATATGGGTGTTGAGAGCAAAACCTAGGTCCCATGCAAGAGCAGGGCATGCTCTTAACCACTGAGCCACATTCTAGCCCTGTCTGTCATCCTAAATCACATGGCTCGATAGCCTTCCCTCGCCCACAGTTCCCAATTGCCACTGCCTCGTGTGGTCTGGGTCTTTGCTGCCTTGGGTAAACTCCGTTTAAGTGAGAGTTCAGATTTGAATGACTGGTGTCAGGTACGCTGGACAAATAGCAGAATTCTTTAGAAGGGGAGGGTCCGGCTTTTGTTTCCTCAAGCAGACAGAGAAGTGGAGAGGACGGGATATCCCTTGGGGGCCACGCTGCACCCTTCTTGTACAGTTCCTTTTGAATGAGTTGCCAGTTGGCCTCTTGGGGAGAGGAAGTAGCCAAGCGTCTGTCTTTGAGGCTGTCTTTGAGGCAGCTCCTTGGGAACTGGAACGTGGGAAGTGTCCTGAAGTAGCTCTGACCTCACTATGGTGCTGTCACTCACAGTCCCAAGGATAAGCAGGTGGAGGGCTGGGTTCTCCATCTTGAGCCTCAGAAGTCATTTGCCCTTGGTCTTCAGTCAAGGAGAGAGACTTCGCAGCCTCCACTTCTTGGAGACTTGGCTCTGGGTCTGACTTGGCTCCAGGCTCAAGTCCCAAAGGCCCATCTTCTCTGACACCTTCCAGAGGAAGAGCACTGGGTGCCTTCCTCACTTCTGGGTGGACGCTCTTGCTCTCTGGAAGAAAGGTCTCCAAAGGTCTGTGTACCGAGAGGCAGAGTGATTTCTCAGGGGCGGCAGGGACATCTGGCTGGGTTGTTGGTAAAGCCAGGGGACCTGATTCATCAGATGGGGGTCTGCTTTCCTCCCATGGACAGATGTCTGCCATGGTGCCCTTGATTTTATTTCCTTCTGGGTCTGTCACTTCCCATTGACATAATTCTGCTAGCCTCTGCCCTGGGCTACTTGCTCCATGGGGGCTGACCTTGGGGTGGTCTGTGTCCGCGGGGTCTGCCTCCGGAAATAGCCCTGCTGTCGCTGTGCCTTCTGAGGGGTAGACTGCCTCTGCCGCTTCTAAAAAGGGTCCTTCAGCCCCTCCAGCCCCCTGTGACTCTCCATCCTGCCCCTGGTCCAGTGCCCCCTCCCCCACCATTCCTGAACTTGCTTCCCAAGGGCAGATCTCCGCTTTCTTGGCAGAGGGAACTTCTTCTACTTCCCAAGGACACACTTTTGCCTCCCTGACCCCCACACAGTCCACTTTCTCAGAACTGCCCTTGCCTCCATCAGAAGCACCTGTGGCTGGTTGCACCCCAAAGTCCTGACTCTCCCCGAGACACATAGCTTCCTGCTCCCCAAAGCTCCTGGTCTGTGGCATTTTCTGGACTGCCACACCTTTGGGCTCTGGTTTTTCAGGGGCTCTTTCTTTTTCTTCTTGAGATTCCTCCTTTCCATCCTGTTCTGATATCTGTGTCTCCGTAATTCTCCCCGTCACCTTCCAGGGACAGACTTCAGCCTCGGTGTCACTGTCAGGGTCAGACTGATCTGGGACCGGAGCATCCCATGGGCACACCTCCGCAGCCCTTCCGCCAGTACTGACGGGTGTCTGGGCGCTGGCTCTGGGTTGGTCAGAGTACTGACCGGGAGGGTGCAGGGAGGGGCTGGCCGTCATCACGCTCTCCCAGGGACAGACAGACTGGAGCTCCTTGCTTGTTCCTTCCCCGTCAGCAGGGAACTGGGATTTCGAAGCTGTAGCTTTTTCTTGGGGTGTGTGTTCTGGGAGGGAACCCGACCTCAGGTTTTGTCGCAGGCTTCCCTTCTCTGTTACCCTGTCACTCGCTTCTGAGGACTGGCCCTCTGCAACCTGACTACTGATGCTGCTGGGCAAATCTGAGACCGTGGGGGCCTGGGCAGATGGTTCCCTCAAATCCTCGTCCTTCCGAGGGCTGATGGCTTCCTGTTCCTGGCGGAGTTTTGCATCCCCTTTGGATGTCCCCTCTTGGAAGGGAAGCCCCACCTTTTCCAGCTTCCTTGGGCCTCGCTCCGCTGGCTCACTCCCCGACTCTTGCTCCACTTCCCTCACTTCCCAGGGACACACCTCTGTTGGCCTGGAGCCCGTGTGGTCCAGTTCCTGGAGCCCATCTTTTGGTTTCTCAGAGCTCAGAGCATCTGGCTGCCGAGAAGAGTCCCCTGGACCCACGCTGTCCCGGGGACAGACCACCTCCTTCTCCAGGCCTGGCCTCTCTGGCTTCTTTGGAGGAGTAGCAGCTCTCTGCCTGGGCCCAGAGTCTGCGGCAGTCTGAGCTGTATCATTCCGAGAGACCCCACAGGCTTCGGCTCCCACAGTTCTTTCCTCTCCAGCCCCAGCAGCACCCACCTCCCAGGGGCAGCTCTTGGCCTTCTCAGCTGTCAGGCTCTCCTCCACATCCCACGGGCAGATCTCAGCAGCTTTGGCTCCCACACTGCCTTGCCTCTGGAGAGTGGCTTGGGGTTTCCCTGAGTCTTTTTGCGGGGTGCTGCTAGGGTCCAAGCTCTCCCAGGGGCAGATTGCTTCCTGCTTTTGGATCTGCCCCCCAGCCTTTTCCCACGTTTGGATTCTTGCTTTTCCGGGTATTTTCTCCTCGTCTTTTTGAGATTCTCTTCCTTTGAGTGTGTGTTCTGATGCCCTGTCCTGGGTTCTTCCATCTACTTCCCAGGGACAGATTTCTGCGGTCGAGGGTGCTTGGGTTCTTCCATCGACTTCCCAGGGACAGATTTCTGCCGTCGAGGGTGCTGCCTGCTTTTCTTCTGGCTTGAGCGCTTCCCTAGGACACACTTGCAGCGCCTGGCTGTCCCCACTGCTTAGGAACTGCTCAGCACCCTTAGATGAGGAGTTGTCTGGATGTGGGCTGGACTGCTCGGGGGCTGGGTCCTCCCAGGGGCACACTGACTCCTGCCCCTGATAGACTGTAGGCGCTGTCCTCGCAGTTTGCTCCCCCATCTCTCCCAAGTACCCCTTCCTGGATGCAGTCTCCTTTCCCGGGAGAGACCCCCCCTCTGTTCCCTGATTCAGTGTTTCTGCTCCCAGCTCCCAGGGACAGACCTCAGCTTTCCTGTCTGTAGGTGCATCTCCTACCTCCCATGGGCAGACCTCTGCAATACCGCTGCCCAGACTCCCTGAGCTTCCCGGGGCTTGAAGTGAGACTGCTGAGGGACCCCGGAAATCTGTACTTTCCCAAGGACAAAGAGACACCAGGTCTCTGCCCAGATTCTGTTCGCTCCAGAAAGTTCCCTTTTGGGGGGATTTCTGCCTTTCTTCGGGGGGTTCTTTCACTCTCTGGGCCAATGTCTCCTCCCCGTCACTCAGCTCCCAGGGGCACAGCTCAGCCTTGGCAACCTCGGGCGGGAGAACCTCTGGGTACCTTTCTCTCCTCCTCACCTCCGTACTGCCTGCTTCTGCAGACCTGCCCTGGGTTCTGTCAGAGTCCTGATGGGCCGACTGAGGAGACAGACCTCCAGGGTCGGCACTTTCCCAAGGACACACTGCCTCCTGGCTCCGGACCAGCCTCTCTGGCTTTTTCCCAATAATGGCACCCACACCCCCAGGTTCTGATTCCTCTGGGGCTTTCTCCTTCCCTTCCCAGGAACTACTTAGAACTTGTCTTGATGGAGTCTTCTCAAGGCCTCCTTCAGTCCCCTCCCAGGGACAGATTTGGGCCTTGCTGCTATCCTCTGGCTGGCATATCCCTGGTTGAGTTACTTCCCAGGGGCATACCTCTGCCACCCTGTGGTCAGCACTGCCGAGGGGCGGGAGGGCGGTATTTGCCACCTCTTGGTCTCCCACAGAGGATTCCCTCGCCTGTTCAGCATTTTTATCCCCAAAAACTTGCCTCAGTGTAGCAAGCCCCATTTTACTGGTCCTCTCGCCTCTCCTCTCCCCGGGGCCCTGTGATGCCCTCTTGTCCCTATTTTCTTGTTCTCTGCTGCCCTCTTTGTGACAGACCTGGAGCATTCTGCTGGTGTGGGCATTCTGTTGGTTCTGGAGGGACTCCTCATCCTCACAGAGGGTGAGGGCCGCCTGCTTGCTCACTGCTTTGGGCCGGCCTAGCCTGGGAGATCGGGGTGGAGCGCCCGTGCTCGCTCCCGCGGGCTCTCCCTTCCCAGTCTCGGAGGCGTCCTCCCCAGCTTCCTTCTCTTTATAGGTGCTCCTGGAACGGGTCAGAGCCTTGATGGCCAGGCCCAGGCTGCGCACGGAGCCCTGCTGCAGTGGTGTCTTGAGGCTGTGGGATTTTGAGAGGACCTTGGGCTTGTCCTCATCCGCATCATCAGCTTCCGCCTGGACATGTCCGTCCTCTGCGGTCCTCTCACTCTCCCCAGTCCCCCTTCTCTCCACTGCCACCGAGAGCGCCCTCCAGATCTTGGTACGAGCTGAGGCAGGGGGGTGGCTGCTTTGCTCTGGCCCCGTGGGGCCTTCCTGGACCACATTTTCTTTCTTGCCCGGCAGTTCTGCGTTCTCCCAGGGGCAGATGAAAGTGAGTAGGGTGGGGCTCTGGGGGGGCATTGGGACGGGTGCCAGGACAGAGGTGGGGGCCGGGGCCAGAGCTGGCAACGGAACAGGAGCCAGTGTGGGGGTCGGGGTGGGAGACAGCATTCTTGGCTCTCCCAGGTAGGCCCCAGACAGAGCGAAGATGGGTGTGGAGACCTGGTGCCGGATGGGTGCGTGAGGCAGCCTCCTGCCAGCCTCCTCGTGAGGCCTCCCGGGGGTGTGAGAGCCGTCCACGCTGCTGCTCTTGGCCGGGGAAGGTGGGGCTGAGAGGGGAGCCCTCAGGGGCCGCTCCGACCTCCTGGCCGACGGCCTCCGCACTGGGCTCACCGGCCTCCGCACTGGGCTCACCGTGGCGGCCTCAGCCTTCTTTCGCTCCTCTCTCTCTTTGGCCTGCCGATAGGTTTCCTCCAGGTAGGCCTGACTGGCCACAAGCAGAGCCTTTTCCCTGGAGCCAGCCACCACACTGAGGGACTTCTGCAGGGAGATGGGCCTGGCGCGGGGGAGCCTTTCTCCCACCGTCAGGTTGTGAGCACTGGCCGACCTGAAGCCCAGCGCTGGGGGCCCCTCTCCGTGGCCCTCCGAGGCTGGCGAGGCCCTCCTGGACAGGGTTCTCCTCAGCGTGTCATGCTCCCTGTGGTGCTCATAGGTGCTGCGGGTCTTGCGCAGGGCCGGTGGCTTCTCGGCTTCTTGAAGGCTGGAGCTGAGAAGCCTGCGTCTGGAAGAGCCTGGCAGGCTGCCGCGGCCTGGAGAGCCCGAGTCCCGGGAGTGCTGCCTAGCCAGGGCCTCGGGGAACTCAGCCAGGTACCTCATGAAAGAGCGCCCCAGGCCCTGGCGCGAGCTGCCCCGCTTCTTGGGCAGGTGGGGGTTGTTAGCCGCCATCTCCTTGGTCTTGCGGACCTCTAGCTGGGCGTAGAGCTTCTTCAGCTCATCCTGCAAGGAAGGGGCGGGGCAGCAGAGCCACCTCTGAGATGGCTGAGCCTGACCCCCCCAGTGCTGCTCCCCCCCTCCCGTGCTGCTCCCCCCCCCAGTGCTGCTCCCCCCCACCAGGGCTGCTCCCCCCCAGTGCTCCCCCCACCGGTGCTGCTCCCCCCCACCAGTGCTCCCCTCCACCAGTGCTGCTCCCCCCACCAGGGCTGCTCCCCCCCAGTGCTGCTCCCCCCCACCAGTGCTGCTCCCCCCCCACCAGTGCTCCCCCCCACCAGTGCTGCTCCCCCTCCACCAGTGCTCCCCCCCACCAGTGCTGCTCCCCCTCCACGACTGCTCCCCCCCCCAGTGCTGCTCCCCCTCCACCAGTGCTGCCCCCCACCAGTGCTGCTCCCCCCCCACCAGTGCTCCCCCCCACCAGGGCTGCTCCCCCTCCAGGGCTGCTCCCCCCCAGTGCTGCTCCCCTCCACCAGTGCTGCTCCCCCCACCGGTGCTGCTCCCCCCCAGTGCTGCTCCCCCCACCGGTGCCGCTCCCCCCACCGGTGCTGCTCCCCTCCTTGGCCCTCGGTGAAACTATTTTCTTTGGGGCACCACTTCTCCACCAAGCCGCTTCCTTTCTTGTTTCTAAACCTCAGAATTCACCACTCGGTTCCCGAGACACCAGAGCCAAGCTGGTCTGACTTGGATCCATTCGGTCCTGAGCGTTCAGGGTGCCCTCACTTCTCTGGAGCCCTGCGATCTCCTGGGAAATGCCCAGCATGGAGGGCAGGGCTGGCTTTGAGACTGCTGACCCACGTGTGTCTCAAAGCTATTTTATTGACCTCTCTGTACCTCCCTCTGCATCTTCTTTGGTTTTAGGGTTTTGCTGTTGTGGTTGTTGTTGTTTGGGAAGAAATTCAGAGCAGGGAAGTTTTCATTGACACTGACATGTAACATTCCCCATCCACTAGTCCCATCAGTCTCCTAGAATGTTCTAAGGAAGTGAACACAGGTTACATAGAAGATGCAGAGGTGCCAGGTGTGGTGGCGCACGCCTTTAATCCCAGCACTCGGGAGGCAGAGCCAGGCAGCTCCCTGAGTTCGAGGCCAGCCTGGTTTACAAATGAGTTCCAGGACAGCCAGGACTATACAGAGAAACCCCATCTCAAAAAAACAAAAAACAAAACAAAAAACCCAAACAACAATAAAATTGAAGAAGATGCAGAGGCACAGACTTTCTAGTCCCACAGCTGACTCTGAGGGTCGTTAGCCATTCCACTGTGCTAGGGACTTAAGGCTTTTCTAGCCTGCCCCCACCCTATGAAGAGAACACAGGAGATTAAGAGTATACTCTTGGCTGGACCTGGGCCTTCAGGGCCTTGGCATCCGGGTTTGGGGAGTTCTTTTCAATTGGATGGTATGTGATCGGGGGTCTTGGGTGGTAGAAGAGGGAGGTGCAGTCTTGGAGGAGGGAGCACTTGGGGTGATTCAGTGGTGTGTAGCCCTGTGGCAGTACAGCTGTGTTCCCCTGCTCAGTCCTTACAAGTTGATATCAAAGAGATTGGGGTGGAGGAGGGGGACCTACCCGGATATCCCCTGCGTCCAGGCTGCGCTCACTCCAGGCTGAGGCAATGCTGCTGTTGAGGTAGGAGCCTGAGCGTTGCAGTTCCAGCTCGTCCTCATACACTTCATCCAAGATCTCCTCTCGGGGAGGTGCCCCTGGCTTCCAGAACTAGCCAAGAAGGGGGATGGGGGAGATGGGACAACAATGGCATCCTGCCCACTTCTGCCTTCACCTACGCTGCCTTTCCTTCAGGAGTCTTCAGCCTCCTGATCCAGAATCCACAGCTTCAGAGAATTTTATTCCCTGTCATTCTTCAGCACTGACCGGCACGGTATCTTAGGCATGGCCTTCAGCTCCCCAACCTGCCTCTATTGACTGCTCCCCACATCTTCAGAGTCCACTAGCTGGATTAAAAGGATACCAGACATGGTGGCCTTTAATCCCAGCATTTGGGAGGCAGAGGCAGAGGCAGGCAGTCTCTGCGAGTTCAAGGCCAGCCTGGTCTATATAGCTAGTTCTAGGACAGCCAGGGCATATAGCGAGACTCTGTCTCAAAAAAACAAACAAACAAGGCCTGCCTGGGCTACAGAGTGAGTTCCAGGAAAGGTGCAAAGCTACACAGAGAAACCCTGACTCGAAAAACCAAAAAAACAAAAAACAGCCGGGTGGTGGTGACACATGCTTTTAATCCCAGCACTCAGGAGGCAGAGGCAGGAAGATCTCTGTGAGTTCCAGGACAGCGAGGGCTACACAGAGAGACCCTGTCTCAAAAAACAAAACCAAAAACCCAAAAACAAAACACAAAACAAAACAAAGCCAACCAAACAAACAAATTCTTCCTCCATCCCTAGCTCTATGTTGCTTTCTTGGAAACTGGAGCAGGGAATAGCTTCCTCTCTAACCAAGCCCTTGCCTGGGATGCTCATCATTTTTTATGTGGAGAGGGTGCTGAGGTGGCAGGCCCACAGTGTTCTTTATCAAGGGGCTGAGGGCCTGCCTTACGAAGTTTCGGAAAGACTTACCTTCGGGATGAAGATCAGAGCTAGGGTGGCTGTGACTGTACTGTGGGTGTGGAGGAAGAAGAGGAGAAGTGTCCAGTCTGGGTTCAGGGAAGGGACCAGCACAAACCTGAGGACCAGATGGGACAGGGTGATCATCAGTGCCATGGGAGCAGCCTGCCTGCCTCACCTCATCAACTCTCCGCCCCAGCCCCAGCCTGGCACTCTGCCTCTCTAGATCATAGGTGTGATCGCAAGGTTCTCATTAACCCCCTCTTCTGAGAAGTCCTCCTAAGTGACTGCACCCCACGGCTTCTGCCTGCCCAGGTTACAGAACAGAACTGTACCCTGGGGTCTATTAGGATCACCCTGTAGTCTGTGTCTCCCTCAACCACAGGGCCAGGTCCCCATAAACACACAGCAGGCCTGATGCTCTGAAGGCCAAGGAGTAAGGAAGGGGTCAGGGCTCAAGGGGAAAACACGCAGGGCTGAAGACAGGCAATTAGGAACGAGACGCACTTCTTATGAATTGGGTCTCTCTTCTCTTTCTTTTTGTTTTTTGTTTGTTTGTTTGTTTGTTGTTTTTTCGAGACAAGGTTTCTCTCTGTAGCTTTTGGAGCCCGTTCTGGAAATTAATCTGTAGACCAGGCTGGCCTCAAACTTACAGAGTTCCACCTGCCTCTGCCTCCTGAGTGCTGGGATAAAAGGCGTACCTGGAGGGTATCTCTCCTGAACTGAGAGATGAGATACAGGAAGGATATATGTGGAGCCCTCCTGTACCCTACCGGACATAGCAGCATTGCAAGGATCACTGTTAGATAGACCCCCTCACCTGGAGGTGGGGAGATTGGCGGGGTGGGAGGAGTCTCGGTAGGAGAGGCTAGTCCTCGCCTGGAGGTGGGGAGATGGGCGGGGTGGGAGGAGTCTCGGGAGGAGAGGCTAGTGTTGTGGGATGGTCTGTATGTCAAATTACTCTGATTGGTCAATAAATAAAACATTGATTGGCCAGTGGCTAGGCAGGAAGTATAGGAGGGACTAACAGAGAGGAAAAAAGAAAGAACAGGAAGGCTGAAGGAGTCACTGCCAGCTGCCACCATGACAAGCAGCATGTGAAGATGCCAGTAAGCCACGAGCCACGTGGCAAGGTATAGATTTGTGGAAATGGATTAACTTAAGCTATAAGAACAGTTAGCAAGAAGCCTGCCACGGCCATACAGTTTGTAAGCAATATAAGTCTCTATGTTTACTTGGTTGGGTCTGAGCGGCTGTGGGTCTGGCGGGTGACAAAGATTTGTCCTGACTGTGGGCAAGGCAGGAAAACTCTAGCTACAGGCTAGTCCTCACCTGGAGGTGGGGAGATTGGCGGGGTAGGAGGAGTCTCGGGAGGAGAGGTGAGTCCTCACCTGGCGGTGTGGAAGACCGTAGAGAGGAGCAGCTCATTGTGCAGGGCGATGCTCATGTAGCGTGGTTCATGGAAGGCCGAGGGGACAGCCCGGGTGGCATAGCAGAGGAAGCTGCCCCAACACAGCAGCAGCATTTCCGCTGGGGGGGGGGGATGAGAGAGAGAGAGAGAGAGAGAGAGAGAGAGAGAGAGAGAGAGAGATCTTACCACTTCGGCAGCCTGCCGACCCTCTCCAAAACCAAGAGCCAGGCAGCCCAGACCCAGGGCAACCAGCTCCAGAATATCCCGGAGGTAAGAGCCAGGGCCGGAAGGAGGCTGGGCTCAGCCGCAGCAGCTCACCCACAACCATGATGTAGTCCCAGTGGTCATGGTGACAGAGGTAGAAGTGGCGGCCGGTGGGAGTGTGGCCTCGGGTCACCAGAGGCGTGTGCTCGATGCCTGGCTCCAGGACGCCCGCCGTCCACACAACCAGGAAGCCCAATACCAACAGTAGGAGCTGCCCCAGACGCCGCAGCAACTGCCCACTGCTTGGATGTGGACCCCGCTGGGCCGTTCGAGACAGAAACAGCTGGAGCACCCTGAGGGGAGGAAGGTACCCGTGGGAAGTCGGGAGGACCAAGGGTGGAGCCAGAGCCCTGGATTCTGTCCAGTGCTTCCCAGCCCTCCGCCTGTTTGCCTTCCCCGACCTTCCCAAAATTTACACAGAGGGGGACAGCTGAGTGACTGAGGCTGGAGGTGCAGGGGGAGGTCCGGCTCTGAAAACCTCACTGTGTGAATGAGCTGGGTAGCCTGGGGTGAGCCGCACAGTGGTGAGGTCTGCAGGGCCCTACCTATAAAGCTTCAGTATGATGGTCCCATAGACGACGGCAAAGCCCAGCAGCCGGACCCAGCGGAGAGCGATACAGCGGAACACACTGGGCTTGAAGTAGAGGATGAACACCTGATGGCGGAGGGACAGAAACAGCCGCTCTCTGCTGTGCCTCCGGCCACTCTCCATCCACGTCCCGCCACACCCATGACTAATCTTCCCGGCAGCCTCACGGTGGAGGCCTCATACTTCCCTTTTGCAGAGTTGCAGTTTATGTATGGGGAAGGGTAGATAGCTTGCCTTAAACTGCACTGGCAAGTCAGAAAATTCTTCCGAATCTGGGTCTCTGCCTCCAGAGCTTACGAGGCCCAGCATGCCATTTGTGGGAATAGGTAGGAGGAATTGAACTTTTTGTTTTGTTTTTGTTTTCCAAGATAGGATTTCTCCGTGTAGCCCTGGCTGTCCTGGAACTAGCTCTGTAGACCAGGCTGGTCTTGATCTCACAGAGATCCGCCTGCCTCTGCCTCCTGAGTGCTGGGATAAAAGGCGTGTGCCACCGCCATGCTGGTAGCGGGGAATTTAAAATGGCCCAATCTTCCTAAGCAGGCAGAAAAGGATTCTGACGGATGATGACAGTTGGGGAGGGGGGTACTAAGAAGTAAGGCCAGCTACTGGTCAAAGACTCACAGGGAAGTAGAGCAGTAAGGATCCAAAAAGGATGGTTTCCAGCAGGAAGATTCCAGAAGCCCGGATCCTCTGTGAGCCCAGGAGAGAAAGGTGTGAGCAGGATGCTGAGCGCACGGAGCCTGGCCTGGGCCTGTCTGGAGGCTCGCTCTAGCCCTGGGCTTCCGGGAACAGCAATGGCTCCACCCCCTGCTCACAGCCCCTCCTCCAGGCCCACCCCGGGGTCCAGCTATGCTTGCACCAAGGACAATGCTGAGCTCACGCCAAAGGTTGCTAACGCTAGAAAGGGTCTCCGGCACTCCTCCGCGCAGACTGTATCTTGGTCTAGAATAAGCTTTCCCTTCTTCGCCCAGTAAAAACCAATTAACCTTCAAGCCTTGCCCCAGTATCACTTTTCCTGGAAACTCGCTCCAAGGCCATCTCTTCCAGAGTAACTGGGTCCCTCCTCTGAGCCCCCGCGGCACCTGACAGCCACCCCCATCCTTGCCCCTGTCGCCTCGCTTCCTCCATGCCAGGGGTTCCAGACTGCTTCGCTTCTCTTGCAGAGTGCCTATGGAGTATTTTGCTCTGAGCAGGCATTCAACTAGTACTTGTTGAATCAGATACAAAGTCTCAGACGAGGAAACAGGTCTGAGGTCGAGCGGTTACTGCCTAATGTCACACACTCGGGCGTAGAAGCAAGGTTGGCACCCCTTCTCCCAAGACTTAGCTCTCTGGTTGAGGCGGTTGGGGGTGCGCAGAAGAAAGGTGGGGCCGCCTTGCCTTGCTCCCTCGGCAACGGTAGGCAACCAGCATACTCAGGAAGACCGCCAGCATGCAGCAGGTCTGGCAGCCCAGCACTGCCGTCCTCAGTGCCAGGGCCTCCTCCACCAGGCATGGTGTGGCATCCAGACAGCTGGTGCAGCCCTCAGGACATGGCTGGCACCGCAGCAGCTTCCCCAAGCTGCCTTGTGGGGACCCGAACTGGCCGGCAGTCTGACTTGCACGCTCCTCTAACCCTAAAAGGACAAGGCGTGTGTAAAGAGAGCTTGGCTAGGGATTTCTGAGGTTCTAGCCTTGGGTCCCGGGGACTACATGCCCTCCTGTAGCTTATGGCCCCAGGAATAGGAGCAAAGGTCCATGCCCCATTCAGGACAGGGTAACAGGAAGACACCAGGCTAAGGCTCATTCAGAAGCTAACTTGCCTCATACCTGTGTGTTTGAGTTTATTCTCAGAAGGTAGATACCTACAAACAGCCCCGCTGATCCTAACACACCCCCCCCCCTTTTCTCTTGAGACAGGGTCTCAGATTGTAGCCCAAACTGGCCGTGAGTTCATGGCAATCCTCCTACCTCGGCCTTCCAAGTGCTGGGACCATAGTTATGTGCCACCATGCCTAGCCTCTCCTCTTGGCTTTCTGCTGTTGGCACCCACTTCCTCCCAGGGTTGACTGAAACCTACCTTTCATCCATAGATGTTTCATCCCAACTTACCTTGGCTTGCAAAACCTCTGCATAGGCCTCTCCACACTTACGTACCCCCAGAACTGCCAGCACCGTAGAATCCAGGTCGGCAGCGACAGAGATAACGGCCAAGGACAAAACCCTGACTCTCCAGAGGGACACACTGTGGGGATGACAAATGGCATTTGTTTGTATGATGTTTTTCTGCGAAAGCTTTTCCTGCTGGGAAGCGCTCCCTCCATCCATGGCTTTTTGGGTTTACATTAGGAGAATTCACCAGAAACCTCCTCCGGTTCTGGTTCTTGCCCAGCCCCCACCCCCACCCCATCCCCTTCTGTTAGGTCTTTTCAAGGAGTATCCAAGAAAAGAATACAGGATTCATAACTAGGATACATAACTCTTTTGTTCAGACTGGCTGTAACAGGAGTCTCACGTTCCATTTCCTGGTGCCTAGCTGTTGCTAGGGCTAGGTACTGGGGGAGGCGAAGATACGGAGAGCTCAGAGCCCAATCATACCTCTTATGTGCCTATACCCTGTTTCAAAGGGCTCCCATGAACTTGGTATATAAATGTTGTGCTGGCTAGTTGTGTGTCTGACACAAGCTAGAGTTATGGGGAGCAATATGAGCCTCAATTGAGAAGAAGCCTTCCCCGGGCAGTGGTAGCACACGCCTGTAATCCCAGCACTCGGGAGGCAGAGGCAGGTGGATCTCTGTGAGTTCAAGGCCAACCTGGTCTACAGAGCTAGTCTGGGACAGGCTCCAAAGCTACAAAGAAACCCTGTCTCGAAACCTCCCCCCCGCAAAAAAAAAGAGAAGCCTTCATAAGATCCAGCTGTAGGACATTTTCTTAATTAGTGATTGACGTGGGAGGACCCAGCCCACTGTTGTTGGGCCATCCCTGGGTTGGTGGTCCTGGGTTCTATAAGAAAGCAGGCTGAGCAAGCTATGATGAGCAAGCCAGTAAGCAGCACTCCTCCACAGCCTCTGCATCAGCTCCTGCCTCCAGGGTCCTGCCCTGCTTGAGTTCCTGCCCTCACTGTTTTTGACAATAAACTGTTATAAGGAACCCTTTCCTCCCCAACTTGCTTTTGGTCATGGTGTTCCATCACAGCAACAGTAACTCTAATTAAGACAGGTACATGAAAAAGACCCACATGGCCGGGCAATGGTGGCTTGGGAGGCAGAGGCAGCTGAATCTCTGAGTTTGAAGCCAGCCTGGTCTACAGAGAGAGTTTCAGGACAGGCAGAACTGACAGAAAAACCCTGTCTCCAAAAACCAAGAAAAATAACAACCAAAAGACCCCTGTGGAGAGGCAACTTCCTTTATCAGGGCCTATCTGGCTTAACATAGGACTACTTTCCTCAGTGTAATACCAGGCTGGTGGGATGCCAAGCTTAGCTCTCTGTTCTGCCTCCTCCTATTGACTGTGCTCTGCAGGGGACACAATGGCCTCAGGGGACACAAATGGCCTCAGAGGACACAAATGGAGATGGGCAGGGGAGTTAAGCACAGGGCTGAGGTCAGTGGCTAAAAACAGATCTGCTGTGACCAAAGGGCTTTGGTTCTGCACGTGGCTTGCTGTCTCCTTCACTAGTCCCAGACCTTTTCAAACTCTGGCCAGCCTCCTCCTACACCCAGCCAGCAATGCCCTTTACTTTGGTGAATACCGAAGGAGCGTCCTCTGTGCACCAAGAGGAGCTCAGAGCTGTGTTACTGTGGAGCGTGCAGCCTAGGAGAAGGAAAGCAGGTGAGGCTCAGAAGTTGCCTTAAAGAAGAACCCCAGAGTGCTGAATACCAGACGGAGGGCAAGCAAAGAGGCACATTCAGGTTTCACAGGCGTGAGGAGTATCTTCTTGGCGAGAGATGGAAGGTATGAGGTAGGCTGTTCGTTGGCCTCCCTTTACAAAAGCCTGCCATTTCTCCTCTGCCAATCACTTGGGACCCCCTTGAAGCCCTGAGATACCAGAGTGGCTTTGTCAGCTGCTCCTGGGAGCTGGGTGGGAGGCAGTGGTGGGAATGGGGAATGAAGGGAGAACCCAGTGGACCCATCCTTCTTGCCTGAGTGCTGTTGAGATCACACAGGTGGGTGTTCGAGTACCAGCCTGGGCCGCTTGCACACTGATTGATGTCCACGCTTTGGAGGTCGATGTCCATCTGCACCTGCCCCCTAGGGCAGCAAACTGGCAGTTAGGGGCACAGTGGGGATGCCGAGGCAATCACCTCATTATTGGTCTTGGCGCGCTTTAGCACAGGGGCAGGACTGCACGCATACGAGGCAGATCTCCAGTGCCATGAGCCCCGTTTCTGTGGCAACCGTCCCCTCCCACTAGGCTGTACTCCCCACTTCTCCCCCAGTCATCCTCTTATCATTTTTTGGTTTTCATCAATGGGCAGAAAGAAAAGGCATGTCAAGGCATGCAGGAGCCCAGGGCTCTGATGATTACTGTGAAGGCATCACCCTTGCCCATTGCATCTGCACACACCCTACGCCACTCAGCCGCTGCTTACCACCCCTTTCCTCTGCCCAAACCAGGTCTGAACTAATCACAGCAGAGGAGTGCTGGAATGGAGGAGCCCTGTTGTGACTGAATTGGGAGGGCTCTGGCAGGGAGCCAGGATGCCTTCTTACAGGACAGGGAACCCTGCTGGAACAATGCATGAGGGCAGAGAGCTGAGAAAGCAAGGCTGACTGCTGCATGCCTGGCTGCGCTGTGGTCCTTTGCGCCTGCATCCCGGGAGAACTGCTGAGTGCAGAGTCAGTTCCTTGAGGACTATCACAAAGCACTGTGGCAGGATAAACAGGATATGGGGTCCGCCCCACTAAGAGCCTGGTCGTTGGTAATGATTCTGGGGGCTCAGCCAACTCCTAGACCTAAAAGGCGTTGGTTCCAAGGCCCTGTCCAGGAATTTTTCTTCCCTTGGGAAGCTTCCTGGAGTGTCTGTGTGGTTCCTCTGAGAAGCCAGGAACATGGGTTATTGCTGTCATTAACTTCTCTCTCTTTCTTTCCATTTTTCTAGACAGGGTTTCTCTGCGTAACAGCTCTGGCTGTTCTGGAACTCACTCTGTAGACCAGGCTGGTCTTGAACTCACAGAGATCCGCCTGCCTTTGCCTCCTGAGTGCTGGGATTAAAGGCGTGTGCCGCCACTGCCAGGCTATCAAGTTCTCTCTTACCTCTTCTGTCTATACCCCAGACCTGAGAGCCATGAGACCCAAGACCTGTCCCTGTCTATACTCACCCTTTGCACACCCACACCCACATATAGATGCATGTGTATGCACATGCTCATAGACTTTCACACGTTGTCCTCAACATATAAACAACATCAAGAGACACCCAGGCACATGCCTGTAATCCCAACACCTGGAAAGTGGAGGCAGGAGGATCAGGGTTCCTGGTTAGCCTTGGCTACATGAGAAACTGTCTTAGAAAACAAAATAAAGCTGGGCAATGGTGGCGCACGCCTTTATTCCCAGCACTCAGGAAGTAGAGGCAGATGGATTTCTGTGAGTTCAAGGCCAGCCTGGTCTACAGAGTTCCAGGACAGCCAAGTCTACACAGAAAAACCTTGTCTCGAAAAACCAATAAATAAATAAATAAATAAGGAAGAAAGAAAGAAAAGAAAACAAAATAAAATGAAGACATACATACATACACACACAAAACAAACCAATAGACGTTCAGATAAATATGTATAAATTGACTGGTTCATGCACAGCATGCGCACTCACACCTGAGGATATTAATAGATAGTTGTAGATATACACAACTGAATGCACACATACATCTGTGCTCCCTCCCCAGACATACACATGTTTCTGCCAAATGGTCTGTGCATCCTCACAAACCCATGCAGTCCTTCCCAATCCCACTTACCTGACTTCCGGGGTGAGGTCTGGCTTGAGTCCATAGAATGTGGCTGAGACTGTGACGAGCCAGCCAGGACGGAGCCGGCCCTCGTGGCATTCCAGGAAGGGAGGAGACAGCTTCACCTGATGGATGTCCCCTACATATCCATCTCCCCGTGGCCACTTAGGGCTGTCAAGACTCCTTAGGTCATTGGTCAGTACTCTCTTCTGCAAGCCAAGGCTGACCAGGTCCTCTTCTGGATTTTCTTCCTGTACCCTGTTCCCAGACAGGTCCTGGAGGATGGTCTCATCCCCCATCCGAGTGGCCTGCAGGGCCAGCTGAAGGTGGCTGGCCCCTGGTGGAGGGTTAAAGGTCAGTAGAGCCCTGTAGGCTTTTGGGTCCCCCTCTGCCACACTTCGGACCAGTGCCTGATACCACTCAACATCCTCCTCCACGCTCGACTCCCGGATGTCGTTGGCTTGTAGGAGCATGTTGAGGAAATTGGCAGCCTGGGCCAGGGTGCCCGCTGCTCTCTGTAGGACTGGGGGGATGCCCACTCTGCCTTCTGCCCCACGGACTTCGTAACTCTCACTGCAATTAGCCCCTGACAGGTGATGAACATCTCCAGAGTAGAGAAAGGCCAGGGCTGCGTTGGCCCCCTGCGGGGGATTCCACGTGGGCCCGGGGCCTGGCTTGGCTTGGGAGGATAGTGGAGGCAGAGAGCGGAAGGGCCTTTGGCTCCCCAGAGCCCAATCGCAGAGGAAGCAGCAACTTAGCAGCCCCCAAACAAGAGAAGGCGTGACCACTGCCCTGGGGCCCATTCTTGGGCAGCTTGCATATCCCTGCAATCCAGGCTGCCTAGAGGTTTGGGTGGCTCAGGAGAATGCAGGCAGAGAGAGGCTGGTGTCTGGTCTGTCTCCACACCTCTCCCCCTCCCTCCCTCCCTCCCTCCCTCCCTCCCTCCCTCCCCCCCCCCCCTCCCCCCCCCCTCCCCTCCCTCCTGCTAATACCATCCAGCCTGTCTGGGTTTTTCCTCCCCCTCTCTAATGGTACCAGTTAGTTTCTGGGATATAGGTATGATGGCCCTGTCCCTCCTCACTCAGTGTGCCACCCCATCTCAAAAACCCCTTAATCCTGCAAACTACTCTTCTCTCCACCTCTGATCCAGTATGCAGACACCCCCACTCCAGACACGTACACCCCACATCTGCTCCAGAGATAAAAGAGGGGAAGGGAGGGGACCAGTTGTCCTCTCTCTACCTCCCTCCTTCCTCTGCTCTTCGCTCCATTAGTGGAGATGGGCAAATCTGGCCTGGGCGCCATAGCAACCACAGATGAATCCGTGGCCCTCTCTCCACCCTCTGCCCCACTTGGCCTCCTGGTAGCAACTGCAATGGGCATACTAAAGGGCTAGCTGCGTCCTAGCAGTGTGCTCCTGATGCCTGCACGGCTCTATCTTTCTATATCCCGGCTTCTCCTTACCTTCTTCGTGAAAACTAGCTGCTCTCTTTCTCCTCCCCTCCTTTTTTTTGTCTGTTTTGTTTATTTGGTTTTTGAGACAGGGTCTCATTATGTACCCTTGGCTAGCCTGGAATTCTCTATGTAGACCAGGCTTTTCTTCAACTCACAGAAATCCACCTGTCTCTGCCTACTGGAATTAAATGCAGCTCCTCTTTTTTCTTTTCTTTTCGTTTCTTTCTTTCTTTCTTTCTTTTTTTTTTGGTTTTTTGAGACAGGGTTTCTCTGTGTAGTTTTGGAGCCTGTCCCGGATCTCACTCTGTAGACCAGGTCGGCCTCGAACTCACAGAGATCTTCCTGCCTCTGCCTCTGCCTCCCGAGCGCTGGGATTAAAGGGGTGTGCCACCACTGCCTGGTGCTCTTCCCATTCTGTAAATTTGCATTTGTATGTATGGTGTCCAAGAAGGCCAGGAGAGTGTCCCCTGGAATTGGAGTTAGAATGGTTGTGAGCTGACAAGTAGGTGCTGGAATTGAACCCAGGTCCTCTGGAAGAACAGCCAGTACTCTTAACTGCTGAGCCATCTCTCCAGCCTCAGGTTGTCAGGATTTGACCACAAGCATCTTTACCTGTTCAGTCATCTTGCCAGAATTAATTCCAAAGATTCAAGGAGAAAGACTATTGACCCAAATTGTCATGGCCAAATTAATCAAAGCAAGCTTTTTAAAATTTGTATACACAGGCCATCTCCCCCTAAAAGTGGGGCTCAAGAGATCAACATTTTAAGACAAGGTTTTTATAGCTCAGGGGTAGGAGGTTTCCAAATGGTGGGGTTTTAGAAGCAGAATATGCCAAGTGATGATGGCCCATTCCTTTAATCCCAGTACTTGGGAGGCAGAGGCAGGCGGGTCTCTGAGTTTGAGGCCAGGAAATTCCAGTATAGTCAGGGCTACACAGAGAAACCCTGTCTCGAAAAACAAAACAAAACAAAACAAAAAAAAGCATAACAAAAAAAGCCCAACATAGGCATAACAAGGTGGTCATAACAATCTTTTGAAACAAAGGCATGGTTGCTGTTTCCCCGAACAGGAAGTATAAAACCAAGTGTAGCTAAGGTTACAGGTGGGCACAGCCCCATCCTTGAGGAACAGAGGTTTAATCATTAATAAGAATGAATCTAGTTTGCCTTTACTATAAGATGGCTTTTAGCCGGGCAGTGTTGGTGCACCCCTTTAATCCCAGCACTCGGGAGAAAGAGGCAGGTAGATCTCTGTGAGTCTGAGACCAGCCTGGTCTACATAGAGAAACCCAGTCTCAAAAAACAAAAATAAGTAGTTTCACTGTAACCTTTTTTATGTGTCTCTGTGTATGAAGATGTATGTGTATGTGGGGAACAAAGGCTGGCCAGCCAATCCCAGAGCTCCTCCTGTCTCCCTCTCTGGGTATTATGGGTGCATGTGGCTAAGCCCAGCTTTTTACATGAGTACCAGGCACTGGAACCCAGGTCTATGTGATTACGCAGCAAGTGCTTTAGCAATGGAGACATTTCCACAGTGCCCTGCCCAATTGGTTTTTATACTTGTTTATGTATTCGAGAATGGGGCATGTATGTGCCACAACATACCACATGTATGGAGGTTGGAGGGAAGTTGTTTTCTCCTTCTACCTGTGTGTCCTGGTGTTGGAACTCAAGTTGGCAGTCTTGATGGCCAGTGCCTTTACCTGCTGAGCCTTCTTGCTGATCTGTACACAGCCACCACTATATATGTATACGTATGTTTATGTATATGTATGTATATGTATATATTCATGCTCACTCCATAGCCACCATGTCAGCTTTCTGTAGCATGAATCTTAAAAGTTCTTATTAATAAAATCAAACCCGAGGCCAGTTATTGGGGTCAATGCTGGTAGATCAGAGAGACAGAACGAGCCACAGCTATCTCACCTTGCCATTTCCTCAGCTGGTCCTGTTTCCCCAGACTGGAAGCTTCTACATCCTCATCCCAATGGCTCTCACCTGAACTGCTGCTTAAAAGCCTGAATGCTTAACCAGGCCAAATGCTTAACCAGCCAAATGCTTAACCAGCCAAATGCCTCTAGTTTCTGGTCCTCAAGCCTTATATATCTTTCTGCTGTCTACCACCACTCCCTGGGATTAAAGGCTGGCTTTCTGGGATTAAAGGTGTGTGTCACCATGCTTGGCTATTTCCAATGTGGCCTTGAACTCACAGAGATCCAGAGGGATTTCTATCTCTGGAATGCTAGGATTAAAGGTG